TCTTCTGATACTTTGGATTTCCAGTCCTTTGAGAAAGAGCAATAAACTCCAGCTGCTCTGTGCCAGAATCAGCTAAAATACTATCACCCTGAGAAGAGGTAAAGTTTTACACACTGCGTCATACATATGGATACTCAAGGCATAGACATGACAATGAGCAGAGACAATGCAAGTAGTTCATGCAGAGAAGTAGAGATACAGAAGTTGATTGGGAGATACATGATTTAAATGTAAAGCAAGCCAGGATTAATACGAGCAATGTAAAGCTCAATTGCCATTATATAACTGCGAAGAAGCAGGGAATATTCAGATCATTATTGTGGCAGGTATTGCTATTATTATATCGTGCAGCTGAGTCTTGAAAGGACCCACAACAATTTTGTTTTGCTTACAAGTATAGCAAAAGGCACAGTTGGACAATGAACTTGAGTCTAAACGTTTCATGAAACAGGAAACAAATTAAGATATGTATCAACTTACACCAGTCCATCCAGGATTATGCGGATTCCCGTGAGCCAAGTTAATAACGTTATAAGGAATGCCAGAAGGTGTGTCCCATGCAGGCAGTAGCCTATCCGCAATATCCTGAGCCTTTTCAAGGAAAACCTTATCCCCAGACAGATCATATGCACTGAGAAGTCCTCCCACCACTCTGGATTTTGTTATGAAACATTCATAAGCAACCATCAGTAATATGAATGTCTTGTCTACCTCCATTTAGAAAGTTGACAAGAATTTCAAAAGTTAAAACTTATACAAAGGAAAAGATGAAAACACAAAACTAAAAACACACGAAACATTAAACCTTATAAAGCAACCTTATGGTTGTTTCAAACACACTTGCATCATAGTTTTTGTTAAAATCCAAGGAATTTGCAACCCACCTGCCACCAAATGACCAGATAAGATTAGATAGGAAAAATGGGTAAGCAAATACTTACCGCTTCAAGACACTTTGCAATTAAAAAATCACCTTACTACAGTAAAACTTTCGGGAGGGGGGAGGGAAAGCAAATTTTCTTTATTCGACATAATGTATCTATGTGCCCATCAAGCTAGTTCTGGGTGCAACGTACACTACTTTAAGGAGTTAACCACCATCACATATAAGAAAATCTGTAGCTAATCACAGCAAATAATCCCTATTTGTGTCTGCTATTTGCTTCCTCCACATTATAACTCAGATAACTTATTTGTCAGTAAATCATCATAGCTATTAATCCCCATTCCTATCTCCTATTTGCCCCTTCCACATCGTCACCCAGGTAACACATTGGGGACTCTTAACAGCTAAATTTTACTGCAGGCATATAAGTTGATTAGAAGTCAGAATTCACTTAGTGTTCCAATAGGCTCTTCAAAACCTGTGTTGTAACAGTAATGAAATTTCTGCAGCATGGAGGCCATTCAAGAAACAAATACAAAAAGTGAGGTAACTAAATCAACTGAATCAAAACAGAGTAGATGAGAACGAACATTCAACTAGATGTTTTTTGGGGTATTATACTTACTCTTTGGCTCTTTGGAATTGTTCATCCAGTCCCATTATATACAGCGTATCAAGAGAATCGATCAAAGTTGCTCCAAGGCCACCAAAGCTATCAACCCCATTCTTGGTTTGTGGCTAATAAAGAGAAAAGAATCTACAACTTAATAATAAAATTTATACACAAAGGAATACTTTAATATGATCACTTTGGTTTTAAATCAAAACCAAAGACCATTTATATCTCTTCTTCTCTCTTGTAACTCAAAACTGTCCACAAAAATGCAAGATGCTGAAGAAAGTAACATGAAGTTGTCAGCTTCAACAAGGATGACAGAACTTCAACAATTCTCGAATCAGTCACAATTAGACCAGATATGAACTAAAGCTCCAGAGCCAACATCAATCTGCAGACTAGCTTAGTTTAAGTTAATGTCCATTTAGCAGGAATGTAACCAGTACCTGAAGTTCATCATGGCCCCATGCATATTTTTCATAAGAACTCCACGCGTGTATCATAGCATCTTTCACTCTCTCTCTTCGCTGAGTAGCCACAGGGTCATTTGCAGCATCATTTCCACTCCTTGCACCACTACTTTTGTGATCGAAGTTGAACTTTTCACTTTGAACAGCATTACCATTCTTTAATTCTTCCAACTGCATGCACAAATAAAATCTTTACAGAAAAATCCAAACAAAATGTGAAAACCTAGAAAATAAATTGGGAAGAAAGCACCTAAGAATTCATTCATTGGCACAACAAAAGTACTTGTATAGGATTACAAAAATCGGAAAACAGTCGGCACGAATAAGCAATTCTTCAATAAAACAATGAAGTTCAACAACTGATGACTTTTGTACTTGGCGCCTCCGCTAACACAACCAGATTAGATTTGCACAGATTCACTGAAACCAGAGAAACAACAAGCATATAAAGCTTGTGCTAATTCAAATAAGGCCAAAACATGAGGAGCACAAGAGAAGGTTCTGAATAACTAAGCATTTATATCAAAGACTTAAAGCAAGCCATATCAAGTCCTAATGAACAGAGCAAGAACATGTGCCAGGGCATCTGAAAAGCTGAATCATGAAGAGGAGCAAAAGAAGAAAAATATAAATCTACAAGGAAATTGAGGAGAAATCATTACCAAATTTTTCAGATGAATAATTTCTTCTTTCAACTTGGAGACCTTTTCCTGCAACATATAAAGAGCTTACTCAGAAGCATGCAAAGGGAAATTATCTCCCTGCAAAAATATATCATAATTCAATTACAGACCTCATTATAGAGCACAAAGAAAATGACAGGTATGCAATATAATTTCATTCACCACATAAGCATGGGAAAAGGGTTCCAAAACAAGGCAGTTCTTTTATCTTTTGTCCCGCTAGAGAGATAATTGTCTCTAAAGTCAAGTGATGTAAATTGTTTCTCAGCACGCAATTACAAGAGAAACGCCAAAATGGTACCACGATACATAAAAAAAAGTGCTCAAGTAGCTCTGAAAATGTTTAAAAGACCTTTGCAAAGGAAGATATAGGACAAAAATACTAATGTCTTCTTGGGCGTATTACGACGTATTTAGAATGAACTGATTTTAATCCCAAACGAAGCATACAAGATTCTGTTAGAATCAAAAGAAGCTTTCATGCAATTGTTTTCGATATATCTTTACAGTTACACGGACCATCTACTAGCATAAGAGGAATTAAAAGAGCAACGAAACTCTAATTTCATGGGACTCCTCCTCGAGAAGAAGAGAAATTGGGGACAGTGGTTTTAAGTGTATGAACCTATCAAAGATGCCATTGACAGCATCTGAGCTTCAAAAGCAACGAAGCAATGAGCATACACTTATCACCGCCACTTTCGGACACGGTGTCAAAATGTGATGACGTAAAGTGCAAATCGCACGTAATATGATGAATTAAAAAGAATTGAACATTGATGTCAAAGACGAGAATTTTATGAAAGCAAGTCAGATAAATTACTCATGGGTCATAAGTGAAGGTTGATTCCTTGGGGGAATGCAGGAAGCAAGCAAATTAAAGCAACAAACTTGAGAACAAAAGAAGAGCTACCCCTAAGGCAAGCAAATTCAGATTGATTTTCATGGCGGCAACAGAAATATGAAATAACCTGCAACACGACCGAAAATAAGCAATAACAAAAAGAGAGAGAGAGAGAAAAAAAAAAAAAAAAAAAGGCAAAGCGAAAGGTGCAATCTTTTAGTTTAGTAGGTAAATTGGAGGGGATGATAGGATAGGAGGGGGATGAGGGTGGGATACCTGGTGGTCGTGGACAAGAGTATGCCGATCCCAGACGACCAAAGTGGCGCAGACAAAAACCATAAACAGTAAAGCCATTCGCTTAGGTCGCTTGAGGTAATAGGCCGGATTGAAGTATCTCCAGCGATTGGATGTCCCCGACGATGACGATGATGATCTACTCCTTCCCATTTCCCTATTCGTTATTGATTTTACGACGACGACTACTACTACTACTAGTACTACTTTATTTGGAAGTAATCGGGAAGAAGTAGTAGTATAACAATTTTGAAATCAAATTATGGCTCCTTCCTAATTTTTGTGCTGTTTTCTGGTCGGGGTCATCGGAGATAAAATGGAGGGGGAAAACACCAAAAAAAAAAAAGATTTTGAGTAAATATTATATATATCTATATATATAAAGAAAGAAACGGAAGGAATCGAGAAGAGGAGGAGAAGGAAGAATTGTGAAGCAGAGAAAAGGAGAAGTGGATCGGGCAGAAGAAGAAAGAAGGGTCAGGAAAAAGCAGCAGCTGGAGCGAGATCTCTTCTTTGGGTGTTGGCCTCCTCTCCCGGCTCCTCCAACAGAGAGATTATTTTATTTATTAGTGGGAGTATGTTAGTTATACGGCCGGCTCCGGTCCAAGAGTTCATCCGCAGTACCAGAAAAGGAATTCAGATTGACCCGGACCACCACCGCCACCGCAACAAACTGAAATCAGAGCTACTCGCCCGCCACAACGGCTTAACCACTCCTTCTACCACCACGACTTCATTCACGACTTGACTTTGGTAGTCATCATTCAATTTTTACATCAGAGCACCCCCAATTAGATGTTGCCAAATAAGCACCCGTGACGACTATCATCTTTGAGACTTTGACTATGTATATATATATATATATCGACTGTGGAACACGGGACCCTCAGTATTGTGTACAGTACACTTTTATTGTCTGTAGTTTACGCCCATGTACGATACATACGACTACGATGATCCCTCCTCTCCTCTCCTGAGGCTCTGAAGCCACCATCCGCTCTCGCTTCAATTCGATTTTCTTGTGAACGACGTCGTCATGCTCCAGTTACTTATTACATCTTCTTCACACATGACACCCACCAACATCAATCAATCAATCATTTCCATTTGGTTGGCCGAATTCTATTCTATCTATGAAAAAATAAAAGCACATTATTTATTATAAATACCAACCAGCAGACCGGACCAGACGAGGGTTTCTTTTTCTTTTTTTTTTTTAAGAATATCAACCATCACAACTTGTGTGAAGAATCACAAGAAGAGATCAGATCGCTGGGTAAATTAATTACAGAAAGGAAGCCATGCCCATCACCTCACCACAAATAAACAGTAGTAGTGTGGGATTGATTATTTGTTGTTGTCACAACTACACACAACCAAAAAGCGGGGTTTCCTCTTCTAGCAATGCCCAGTGAGTGCATTATTGCCTGCTTCAAAGTTCACAGGCAGCACAACCAGCTCAGCTCATCCATCCAAGCTTTTCTCATCCGAGACACAACAACAACAGAGAGCCGGCTGTTCTAAATAAACTTAATAAACTAACATAACATGAAGATATGAAGAACCTTTAAACTAATAAACCAACGAAAAGATCCGATGAGTGAAACAACGAAACTCGTCACATACAGATACAGAGATGATGATAACTCCAAAGTAAAAGTCTCTGCCTGCGCAACACACACAATTCCAGACGCTTTATCGGCTCATAGTCATCAATGATCAAACCCACCCAGACCCACTCCAGCGTACATTTCTGGTCATGACGAGTCGCTTCCGTTTCCCGCAACTCTGATAACCGTTTCATCAGCTTTGAAATTTCCATTCTGCCAGAAACACAAATTAGAAATACGACAGAAAGTTGAATGTAAACATGGTCTTCAAAAATCAAATAATATAAAACTTAAATAGAAGAACCCTTGCCCCCACCTCATCACTCTGGTTAAGCGAACAATTTGGTCCCTGCACACCACCTCCCTTTGAGAGGTCCCTCAAAGTTCCCTTCAATTAGCAAACACGTAACATGAGTCATTCACACCCTAATAGCAATCAACAATTATAAGATTTATTACTCCATCAACTAAAAGCATGGTGTCCCAAACCATCATAAACAAATGCGCCAACAAAATTCAACATTAACCTAGAAACTTCACAATCAGTGATTATTCATGAAAAAAACGAGCTACTAGAGAGATATAGAGAGGAAAAATATATATATATATATATATAAAAAAAAAAAAAATGCCCTAGCATTAAGCAGTGAGAACTCTAAATGATGGTACCAGCATAAGCTGGCAATACCCAAGTGTCAAAGAACAATACACGTTTTACAAGGAACTCCGCCAGATATTTTAAATGTCAAAAAACAATGCACGTTTTACAAGGAACTCATACAGACATCAAGACAGACAGCTCGCACAAGTGAAGATAAAAGCCCACAACCGAGATGATTAACTAGCAAGCACAAGATGATACGTGAAATAACAAAAATATAAGAAAAGAAATCATCTGAGGAGAGTGTTCAAACAACTGTGGCACAAAAACGCATTTGATATGCCAAATATTAGAGAGAGAGAGAAAGAGAAGGGGGGGAGAGAAGGAAACAACCAACACAACCTTATTCGCCCACATAAGTCCACATGCATTACAGAGAGTCCTAGGTCCTTCCGGTCCGCGGCGCATCATTGGAGTAGATTTCTCACTGATCCCACAATGCCGACAGCTGGCATAAGCAAACTAATGTTACAGTTCAATTTCAGAACATGTCAATAATCAAATTAATAAGATAATTACATCCAAGAACTGCAAGCAAAATAAAAATATTCGTAGGACCCCGGTCTCTAATCAATCAAGTAGCAGGAACAAAGTCCGCGGTTGTCCAAATTCAACATTCTCATTGGATTCGAAAATTCAAAATCATTGAATGGCAATTTTTTTCATTACTCATACAACAGTAAGTCCAACTAAACAATCTTAATATTGAAACAATATAAGCTCTTAGGGCCCTTTCCAGGTTCTAAACAACAACTGTTGTAGCCAAACATTAGTTTACTTGGTCATTAAGCCAACAACTTTCAAGTTTCTATCCAGGTTGCAGAGAAAGGTTTGAAGTTTCACATCTAAATTGAGCATCCTCTTTTCATCAATGAAAGGAGATTAAAGCTGTCCAGCTTATCAAGATATAAGGATATGTTTAAGTTCATGCTAACCCGTAACCCAAATACTTGGCATAAGAATGCCCATAAAGGCCTGCAAATCAACTGTTTAAGTTGATAAAGGATCTAAAATCTGACAATGTGACTGGTGAACAATGTACTTTACCATACCAAGAGAGCTCCGCAACTGGACTTTTTTTGTTTTTCTCATTTCTGGTGATAAAAAAGTGCGAAGGATTAAAGAAAAATGGATATGTAAAAATAAAATTAAAAAAATCTAAAATCTTGCCACAAGTTGGTTCAAGTATATATAACATGTGTTCTTTGAGATATAGAGGTAATTATCTATGCAATTTTATTTAATTTCCTTATAATAACATGACTGAGAGAATTTTATTCCAAGGTTAAAAGAGGACAAGAAAAAATGAAAGCGATAGAAGCATAGATGGTCATACTTTAAAACAAAGAGGCAGGCAAGTGAGGTTGAAAATCTTGTTACCACAATACCATTAAAATAAACATATGCACAAATACTGGGAGAGAACCCAACCATCATCAAACAGAGAAGAAAGAAACAAAGATAAACACCAGGAGTGATGGCTAAGCAAAAAGTTAACATGAGAGGAAAACTTACGAAATCTCTTGATTTTGGGATGCACTGGCATCCAAACCCCAATTCTGATTAGAATCCCAGCTTGAAGCAGCTGATGCAGCATCATCATTACTGGGTTTTGAAGATGTAAATTGACCTTTATTCCGTTGCATCCTGCAAAGCGACAAAATCAGTTAAGCCAGACACTCAAAAACTTCATATATCAAAATCGGACTTCAAAAACCAAACATTTATGGTCAACACAAGGTACAGGAAAGTTTACAGAGACATGCAACCTCAAGAATCAACTTAATCACGCCAATCCCATCATACAATTGGGCACAATTCAATAAGCACCACTCGCAATGAAGTATACAACATGGACAAGAAGTATAAGTGTACAATATGCTGGTTCTATAAATGCAATATACTCATATAGTCCAAGTGATTAACCTCAATGGAAAACAAGATATATAAAAGGACAACTAAAATGAAGCTCATAGATGTTGGATTCCCTTATTTTGGAGCAAAAAGTGAACTGGTTTTTACTAAATCTTGATGAGGGACTATATTTGCTTAAGCTGATTTTATATGAATTTAATGGCTGCAGAGGAGAACAAAGATCGTCATACCTAAGAGCAACCTCTTTACGAACAGTGTAACGAATTTTCTTGTCAAAATTTCGTTCTTTCCGCTTCTCCCGAAATCTGATCAATGAAGCTAACCTCTGAGGCACATTGAACTTCTCTGGAGTACTAGATATGCCCTGTTCATATTGATGATTAATCAGGTAGCATAAAAATAAAAAACTATACATATTATACATAATAATGGAGACGTAGACGTTGTATCCATACCCTATTACCATGAGTGCTTACTGGGTTAGTAGGCACATTCAAAGGGACTTCACGACCCCCTAACAGAAGAAGCACAGCTTGAACCTGAAGCAAATGATAGAGAGTCAACACATTGCCTCTATACATCAATCATACGACAATGAAAGGCGCACTCCAAAGTAGAGTTATAATACAAAACCTTTCGCCTGATTACATACAACTGTCTCTCAATTCATTGAATCAACTCATAATGTGGTATATGGCAACTAAACATCTTTGTTTCCGTTTGTGGGTGGGTTGTTTGTTGTTGTTTGGGGGGGGGGGGGGGGGGGGCAGAGAGGGGACTTTGCCTGGATTGAAAAAACAGTAATACTGCAGCTATGCTTGCTCCACAACTTTCAAGTTAATCTACACCTGACATCTTCGATCTTTGAGGCAAAGTTCTTCAAGCACTTTTGCAGCAGAAGGATGCAAACGAAAGGATCACACTTTTTCATCAAGTAACAAAATTCCTTTGTGGCAATCTTTATCAAGAGCCAGAAACACAAGGGCAAAAAGCAAAAAAATGATTGACTTGAGTATGAGAACCGGTAAGAAGAGGGTAAAAGAAGGGGAGCTACCTTTTCGGGAGAGACAGAATCAAAGACGTAAACTTGGCCCTGAAAAGAGAGCGTGAGCTGATTATTGTCATTAGTAATGCTGCCACTGGCGCCAGGAGGCACCAAAGCACTATGGTTATCCGATAAAGTCGCCTGATCAGTTGAAACATCAGCATCCATACATTCACTTCCACCAACAACTGCACCACTACCAGTATCTTCATGCTCATCACCATGATGGTTCATTATATGCCCATTACCCATATGGTGCAGGACATGATGATGATGATGATGATGATCTTCCTCTTCCAAGTAATGAACTTGCTGGTGCATCGTTCCCGCTTGGCCTCCATGTATTCCGCCTCCACCCTCCATCTTCACTCCCAAATATATTCCAAAACCAACACCTCAGCTAATATTCTCGTCTGTGAGCACGACCAATTGAGATTCACCTCTTTTTTTATTTATTTGTTTTATTTAAAATTGGCTTTTCCAAAAGCACCAGAAAGAAGGGGAAAAAAGACACAAATTTTACAGGCATATTAATTGGTGGGAAAAATAAAAAGAAAGAAACAGAAACTTAGATATGTGCTTACAAAATCAGCATCCGAGCGGAGGGGTAGATTCAGCGAAAAATCAAGCCTTCCCAAATGGCGAAATGCAAGTCTTTCTTGGAATTGAAAGACTAACGGGCGTGATTGATTGGGTACAGGAGAGTTCGGGGGAGCTCGACGTTACATTGAATCAAATTCTAGGGTTTACAGATGCAATTATGTGCGAGGGCCTGCGATCTCATTCACAATCAATTTCTTTCTACCAAAATTTAATTTTAGCGTCTAAGGGGTTGTAAACTTTACACCTTTTTATTATTATTATTATTATTATTATTATTATTATTATAGTAGCAGTAGTACTAACTACTACGTGATAAAATGATGAAATACTCCGCTGCAGCCGCTGGTAGGGGTAGCAGTTATTACTTACTATTCCCTAACAACAACTCTGCTCTCTAATTACGTTTATTTCTTCAAGACAAGAATAATAGCAGTAATGATTATGAAAAGCCTTGACAATTACTCCCACACTACCGTTTCTTTCCAAAGTAAATTACTAGCATCATGATTCACCACGTTCGATTAACTTTTTCTTTCTTTCAACACCAACAAATTAAAATGCATTCATTTAATTTAATTTTAAAACCAGCTAAGTATTCAAATATATATATATATATATATATATATATATATTATATATATGTGTGTGTGCATTCATTTAATTAAAATGCATTCATTGAATGCGACTTATTATTACAAAGATAAATTGTTCACTTTTATTCATTAATAAATTAATATTTAATGATATTTTAAATTATTTTAAAATATTTAGCATCAGTTAGTTAAACCTGTATAAATCAACTGGAATCGTCACAAATCATAACATGCACTTTTTCTAGCTATTTTATTTATACATTAATACTTGATTTTTATCACAACGAAATTTTTTCCTTTGTTAACGAAAGCAATACATTAAGATACTCTTTATAATATATTTACACAGGTCACTCTCGACTCATAAATAATCCCTCAAAATTTGTTACCCTTCAACACTTTAGGGCGGGCATTGAGACCTTGCTAGTGTGTGTATGTGTGTATATATGCCTTACTAGTATGTATATGCATATCTACTACTAAAATTTACTGAAAACTCTTATGCAATAATAGTATTCGATGTATTATTCTTGCATTGAATAATACACTAAGCATGGCAACGTGAAATTAGAAAGCTCAAATGTATAATTAAGCATAACAAAATTTAATCTCTTTATTAAAAGTATAATTACCCATAAACAATTCAAGAAATCTTAAGGATGTGCCACATCTCAAACTCACTCTGACTCTGAAATGATGATGATTATATGAAAGTGTTGTTAATAATCAATCATCTAAAGTAGAAGTGATAAAAATAAATCAACACAATTATCTTAAAAAAAAAAAAAGAACCCACTCGCACAAAGAAAACCGCAAAAACCCATCCAACAGAGTGTACTACCAGTACCAGAATTCTCGAATAGGGGGCAACAGCATTGAGAACAAAATCACCATAAATTCTCACAAAATCTAAGGTACGGCAAAGTTGCTTTAAGGTGACAATTAAAAGATGAAAATAAAAAATTGATCTAAATACGATGCTAAATCAAGTCTACAAAAGGAGTTATGGATAAACTTAAAAATCCATCGGAAAGGGCCTCCAAAATTGTAACAATCATTCATGTATTACTACAATCAATCTAGTTCATTCTCCTGATAAGTTCATTGATATAGTCTTCACGATTGCCAGCATCGCCTCCTTCAACATAGTGATTTCTCTTCTTCTTCAAGCCACCAAGAGGCGCCTTAAGTTTGAATGGCCAGAGAAAATTGTTTGCCTCCTTAAAGTGAGGTCCAACTGTCAGGATCTCATGGGCAAGGTCTTCAATGCAGATAATACCATGTTTTCCCAAAGCCTGTCACACAAAGCACAGGTTGGCAACGCCTCTGGAAATCAACACGGAGAACAGAACAAGTGGCATAGTTCAGAAACAAAGTACCTGTTCAATGATTGAGTTGTCAGTCAATGCTATTCTCTGCTTGTTTACCTTGCCATAGCCTCTCTTGTAAATCAATTCCTTAACACTCTTCAAGTTGGGGTATCTGCCAATGAGTAAAAGCAAAGAACTTTCAGCTGTCAATACGCCCAGAACACCACCAACATATACATATGTGAAAGTGCACAGAATTGCAAGTGAGAACCCACCCATAGGCAACGTAAGGCTCAACTCGGTGTAGCATATTCAGCGTTGCCTTGTTAACCTTTAGGAATACACCATTAAATATCTGCAGAGGAAGAGCACAACAGTGAAGAAATCAAAATGGCAAAAAGGCAGACAATAAAATTATGTACATACCTAAAGAATAAACACCAGAAACCAAAACAAAAAACAAAATCAAATAGGTCGAAATCTCACTAAGACAAGGACTAGGAGAGTCCAAACCAATCACCCTACTATAGTGTTTTTCTAAGATAAATGCTCCAAACTTGTCATTCCTTGTTATTGCTATCAAATTAATCAGGATGATCACACATTAATCATTGAATAAAAAGCCCCTAGGAAAATGTACGAAACAATAAATCTGGGAATAACTTATGGTTGCCAATGTCTCATTGAGTTTGACATTTAATGCTACAAAATTCCTCCAGCTCCTGAAAAAGCCAAATGCACATTGCTTTAGTTCAACAATGACAAAGCTGTGATTAGGCTGATACAGGTGATGATTCATCACCAACCAAATAAATCAGCAAATCAACTGCAGATCAATGGTACAAATTTCGCATATCAGCAAACTGCCCGTGCATTGCGTAATGACACCAAAATCATGCAGCTGAGCAGTTGGAGAATGACCTAATGGAACTTACAATTTCACAGTTATTTTCAGAAACTTGGATGACAGGAGCATTCTGAACTTAACCCTCAACATGTATCAAGGACAAAAAGTCGTTTCTCAACTAGTTGCAATTAACTAGAAACTGAAATTATTTGTCAAGTCATTTCTCAACTTGGTAGAAATAACTAAAAACACAACCACCCTAGATCCTGCCAGAATTATTTTATACATAAAGCTTTCTAAACTATTAAACAAGAGCAATGAGCCAACACAGGTATATATCCGCAAATCACCTGTCTCAGGCGCAGAAGCTGCAAAATCTTCTTGGTCCTTGGATGCATAGCATTGATACTGCAATACACAAAGTTAGAATATTTTTTTTAACTCATTCAGAACTAGCAAAGCAAAATTGGTTGATAAATCAAATATTAATGCATACCCTCGAATGCGAACAATGAAAAGCAGCTTGGCTTCCGGGTTGACATAAAAGCCTCCTTTCAACCTTGCTTCGCGTTTCAACTTGATAAGCTCCCTTTGCTGAACAGAAATAACAAGTTTTGAGTACAATGTCAAAGGTCCCATGAAAGTAAGAAAAGGCTACCTGCTCGGCGTACTCCTTAGCATACTGCTTAGCTCGGTTGTAGATGAGCTTGCGGTTGGCAAGGTTCTTCTTCTTAGCAGCTTCAAATTCCTGCTTTTTGGCCAATGCCCATTCTTCGTTTCTCTTCTGTTTCTTCAATACTGACTCCGGGACTCCCTTTGCTTGTTCTTCAGCCATCTCTGTGTAAGAAGAACGGCAAACGTGCTGCTAAACAATCATGTTGAAAAGCATAAAAAAATAATCAAAGTCAGAGAACATAATTGTCAAACCAAAACGCTGGTGCTACTCAATCCACATTCTCAAGGAAAGACGTGTGCAATTCGAGGGTAATACATGAATTTACATAAGAATAGGTGGTGAAGAAGCAAGAAAGTGTTGTCACATGTAACTTCAAGTATAGCATATAGTTCACCACTAGGAAACTAGTGGGTGATAAAACTGCAGATGTTGCATTTACCACAAGTACAATCACCAGACCCTGCACCCTCAGCATCCAACTACTATAACAGTCAATATTAATGAGTGAGAAAAATTCACACGGTTTCTTCGATTGCATGAACGGAAAGAAGACAAAATTAGATGCAACACTCGGCCATTGACAATAAATACATGCTTAGCAGCAAACTCAGAATATATCATCCTGCAAATGGTAATAATGAAAAGATGACACCACAATTTTTTTTTTAAAAAAAATGCATGCTTTCGGAATTCAATAAACACTAAGGCTACGAAGAAATAAAACCCAGAAAGTGACGATCATAAGCTGTGGTATCAGAAGGCAGTACATTTTAAAAAAAAAAAAAAAAAAAACTGGGGGCACAAGGTTATTAAGTCCAACACAAACATCCGATGTGCGGCAGTTTTTGGAAACAAAAACTATAAAAATAAATAAATAAACAAATAAAAGAAGTAAAAAGAAATGCATATGGAGGAACAAAACAAAACAACACAACACAACGTAAATGTCGAATTCTTAAATCAGTAAAAATCAGCAGCCCCCCATCTCACACAGATACGATACCAAGATGTATCAAACTTTGATAACATTTTCTTCAAAAAAAAAAAAGAAAGAAAGTTATTTTTATGAACGATTCATTTCTAAAACCTTCTCTGCCTTTAACGATGCAAAGAAAAAAAAAACTGACTTAGAAACTTACAGAGAGAGAGAGAGAGAGAGAGAGAGAGAGCCCTGCTTGCTAACCGGAGGCTGCTGCTGCTGCTTCACTTCCTGGATGAATTGGGTACGGCCAGTAAGAAGTAGGGTTTATAGTACAGCAGTTTTGGGCTCAATCACTAATCTGGGTCGTCGTCGAATCTATACCCGGGTCACAACAACGCCTTCAAGGTAAGGATGCCTGTGTAACTCACAATGATTGGTAGTGGGCTTCGGCCTTTATTCCACAATTAAGTTGACCATGTTGGGCCTGCTGGCTAGAGTGCGAACGTCCTTGTTTACTATCCTACTGTCCAACTGTTCACGTTTTTCATTTTTTTTTTCCTTTTACGATTGTTCATTATCCACTCATTAAATATATGTGAGATGTTAAATTTTTAGAAGAGTAAAATTAATTTAAAAAAAAGTGTATAAATATAAATGAGGATGATAATTAGAATAAATCTTTCTTACACTGACGGTATATACACTACTATCATCATTGAATTCATGACATGTGTATAAAAATTGAATTTCAAATTCAAATTTGGCATAGTTATCATTCATCAAACGTTGATAGTGTATATACTGTCACTGTAAGAAAGATTAATCATAATAATTATTAGTATGTGTAATTACAGTATAAGTTAAATATAATTATT